GGAGCCATCATAGCTAAATTGCAGCAGGTTTTCAGAGTTTGTCAATCACACAGGACATTGCCCATCTTTCTCCTGCAGAGCACCTGGTGGATTCGAACTCTGTGCCTTCGGATTGGCAGTACAACTCTTTACCACTAAATGTCCAAAGCTCCCTAGAAACTGTGTTAGGTCCTGAGTACCGAATGCTGACCTGGAAAGACCAAGTTCTACCCTCAAGATGGGCTTAATTCTTTTTCTTATCAGCAGGAGCCCTGGGCTGAGAGTCTAATGGATGGCACTGTGTTAGGGAAAACTCTGGTAAGTTTGAATCCAGATCCTGCAATGTGCCATCCTGAGGGCAGAGCCTGGCCCACTTCCCACCCACCATGGGAGAAGGCATGGACTCAAGGCCACTGACCTCCCTCTGAATCTGTCTCCCTGGCTCTGGCTTTGCCTAGCCTGCACAGGCTGGCGGGGGGTGGGCGGGGGGGGGCGGGAGCTTGGCACCTGCAGGGGAGTCTCTTAGCTGCAGGTGGCCAGAAAAGGTACCTTTTCTAAGCATTCTCTCTGAGGCAGGCTTGGATGGCACCGAGCATGGAGTGGTGCTGTGACAACAGAACTGTGGGGCAGGGGGCCCACCTCAATGCTAGAGTCCTGGAGAGAAGGTGAATTGGTTCCTCGAGAAATGTTTCTCAAACCTGAGATCTTTCAGGCTGTAGAGAGAGGTGGGAAGGGACCGGCAGAGAGAGAAGCAGAACAAAAGCCCTCCACTTGCTTAGCAGCCCCCCAGTCCCCTCCTTTCCAGCCAGAAATCAAACAAAACTATGAAATCTGACACGAGGGCCAGAAAGGTCTTCCTAGGGCAATTCCTGCCTGACCGCCAAGTCCCAAGGATGATTCATGTTTGAAAAATCCCCATATCCCCCAGAAATCTCTGATTTCTCAAGAGAGAGGAAACACACATTTTGCCATTAGCTCCACTGGAGAAAGATGGACAACCCCCTCCTGTGTGATTTACAGCTCAGAAACCCAGGAGGAGGGTCAGCTATGAGTATCTTTTGACTCAACAGCAATATGAATTTTGAGTCTTGTAGTTTCATGGATGGGTGAAACTGTGAGTACGCAGAGCTGTTGACTTTCGTGACTACTGCCCTCCTCTGAGCTGTCTCAGACCAAGTTTGAAACAGCCTCCCCACCCTGGCCCACAGGGATGTTTCACAATTGGCAAAGCCATTCCCTGGGTTCACTCATCCCACCCACATCTACTTTCTTACTCCTGGCTGAAATGGAAGCAAAAATGACAACGCTTCATCTCTTACACTTTGCACATGTTGCAAGGAGAGACTATTCTTGGAAAAGAACATCATGCTTGGAAAGATGGTGGGTCAGCGAAGGAGAGGAAGGAGAGAAAGATGCCTCCCCAGCAAGATGGATTGACACAGTAACTGCAGCAATGGGCTCAAGTGTGTCGAGATGATGAGGGCGGCACAGGGTAAGGGCAGGGTTCAGGTCTGTTCTTCACAGGATCGCTAGGAGTTGTACTCAACTCATACCTAACAACAATAATGTTGGCTGCCCAATAGAAAACATTACAAAGGTTGCCTGGATACTTTTACCACCCCTCCTTGATGCTCCAGACTCCCATTTTTGCGAAGTGGGGTGTCAAAGGTGGAAGGCATTGGGCAGTCCCTGCCTTTATCTCCAATAACTTTGGGAAACAGCTGGGACCTCCCTTTCTTTGTTCTTCCTGTCAAGACCCTTGTCTGCCCTGTGGCTTTAGTTCCCTTCCCCTGGCTTTAAGCTAGGAACCACCCTGGGGACACTTGACCCTTTTGCATCCTGTCATTGGCTCCTGGGCCTGGCCTGACCTCGCTCTGATTTCTTCCATAGCTCCCTGAAGCAGCTCGCTCTGTCCCTGAGTCATTTTAGATCCCAGCTCTGGAAAAAGGAAAATCTCAAGTAATGGGCAGATCAGTATCCTATATAAGGGATATTTTTGCTGGCCACTGGCAGGGGACTCATTCTCCCATGCAGGCTGGTGGGGGCAGGAAAAAGAAAGACTTCATCTTCAAAACCAAGTCTGTCCTAGCTCAGATCAATTGCCTCACTGGTAAAATGGGAAGAAATACTACTTACCTCAAGCTGCTATTGTAAGGATAGTATGGGATGATTCCTATTGTTGTTATAAACTGTCAAGTCAGAATGGACCCCTCAGCAAGTTTTCAGAGATTTTAAATCACAGAGGAGAAGAATGCTCATTTTCTGCAATAGAGTAGCTCATGCATTCAAACCCCAGGCCTCAGAGTTGGCAGTGCAACTTCTTTCCACTAGGCCACCAGAGATGCCTACCTAACTCAGTGCCTAGCACATAGTAAGGTTCTAGTAGATATGGTTAGCTGACCCACCCCTTCCAACACCTCTAGGTTTTTATACCAAGACAGTATCAAGGGGTCTTCAGTACAAAGAACCATCCCTTAAATCCCACCTGGCCCCACATGCACCTTGGTCCATTTCTAGTGATCAGGACTCTGGAATCAGGGAGAATCTTGGAAAGATAGATTGTTGGCATTGTAAGGTGGTTTCCACACAGACTTTTTTCACATTCAGTTCACAACTTCCCATGAAATAGTTATTACGGTCACCCTCCATTTTAGGGACTTATTTACAATGAAAGGAGCACTGGAACAGCCAAGTTGTTCTAAGTCAGAGTCTGTTCACACGGCATCTGTTTTGATATGTGTCTTCACCCCCTGACCCCACAGTAACCTAGGGGAGAGAGGGGGTTTACAACATCTTAGATTCTGGGAGCTGGAGGGATTCAGAGGAAGCATGGCAAACAGCTAGTTTAAGATCACAGAGACGCTTAACAGTCATAACTCTGCCCAAATCCATAGTTGTTAATCTTAGTTTAACTAGGGCTTTAGTGTTAACTTTTTGTTTGTTTATTTGTTTAGGGAGTTGTTTTTTGGACAGAACCCCACATCTGGAAGGCAAGAATGTAATGCAGCCCGGAGCAGAATGCAAGAGTTTTGAGTTCTGATCTTATAAAGCTGATTTAGCCAAGTTGAAGGATAATGCAAAGACGACAGGTAATTCCCGATTCATGGCATATTCAAGCTACAATCGGTCCTTTTTCTTTTAACATTTTTTACATCTAACCCATCCTAATAAATGTTGCAGTGAATATTTTGTTGATATTATTCTTAGATATTCAGTAGAAGACATTAGAAAATTGGGTTTATACAAGTATTGATAATAAATGGTGATGTTGTTGTTATGTGCTGTTGAGTCGCCTGAGACCCATAGTGACCCTGCATACAGCAGCTCTGAAGCAGCCCTGTCCTGAGCCAGTCTCACTGATTTCAAGACACCAATGCCCCCCATTGCCCCAGTTACTGTATCACTCCATCTCATATGGGGTAATGGGGGGGGGAATGCTTAAAGGGTATTAGATTTATGTCAAAACATCAAAACTGATTTGTTGTTGTTGTTATGTGTCGTCGAGTAGCTTGTGACTCATAGCGACCCTATGTACAACAGCCCTAAACTCTGCTCTGTCCTGTGCCAATCGCACTATCTCTGACACACCCATCCCGGTTACCCCAGTCACTGAATCAATCCATCTCATAGAGGGTCTTCCCCTCCTGCGCTGTCCCTCCATTCTCCCAAGCATGATGTCCTTCTCCAAGGACCAGTCCCTCCTTACAACATGACCAAAGTATGTCAGTTGAAGCCTCAGAAGCCTTGCCTCCAAGGAGCAGCCCAGTTTAACCCTCTCCAGGATGAATTTGTTTGTTTTCTTAGCAGTCCATGGTACCCTCTTCTCCAGCACTACAGCTCAAAGGCATCAATTCTCCTTCTATCCTCCTTAGTCATTGTCCAACTCTCTGATGTATAACAAGTGATAGCAAAGACCATGACACCAGAGAGACACCATTGCCCTTCAGTACTTTAGAAAGGTTCCTAACAGCAACTTTCCTATGGCAAAACTGATTTACCATGGAGTAATCTTAACTGTGGCCTAGTGGTAAGAAACTGCATTGCAGTCCCAAAGGCATGTGGTTCAAATCCACCAACTGCTCTGAGGAAGATGGACAACCTCCTCCGAGTGATTTAACTGCCTCTGAAAACCCACTAGAGGGTCAGCTGTGGGCTTGTCCTACTCGATGGTACACAACAACAATAATCCAAATGGAGGGAACTTGTGGCCTAGTGGTAAATATTTGTGCTGTCAACCCAAAGGCAGAAGGTTCGGGACGACCAGCTACTTACAGGAGAAGGCCAATTAATCTTCTGTACTGCTTAAAGCCTCTGGAAACCTCTTGAGGATCAGGTATGAGTCTGTTCCTACTCAATGGTACCACAACGACGTCAATCCGAATGCAGGGAGCTAGTGGCCTAGTAGTATTTGTGCTGCTGAGCCAAAGGCAAGAGGTTCAAGACCACCAGCTGCTTCACATGAGCAGGATGGGCAGTCTCCTGTGTCACTTAGAGTCTCCGGGAACCCGCTGGAGGATCAGCTATGAACTCTGACTAGATGACACACAGTGACAACAATCCAAATGGAGGGAGCCCTGGTGGCTAGTTAGGTGTTGGGCTGATAATGGAATCCACCACCTCCAGGAGGGAGAAAGACGAACAGTGTCCTTGGTAAAGATCTGCAGCCTGGGAAAACTCAAAAGAGCAGCACCTTGAATTCGAATCGCCTCAATGGCAATGTGTGTGCGTTGTGTGTGTGTTGCGTTAATCTAAGTGGACTCTCTTCGTCAATTAGGGACAACCTATGGTTTCTCTGACTTTGTTTGGTTTTAGAAACCCAAGTTGTGTAGACTCCGTTTCCAATCTAGATTCATCGGGTTTTCCAAAGCGCTGGGCGGGCGTCTCTCAAGGACCCTCCCTGCGGGGCCCCCAGCTCCGTGGCGCAGTCCCGTCGGCCACAGGCCACCCCCTCCAGGCGCCCCTCCTGGCTCCGCCCCCGCCGCTCAGTCCCCGCCCTCTGCGCGCGGTCCGCCTCGGCTTGCGAACTCACTAGGGCGAGCGATCCCGAGCGCTCGGCATTGTGGCCGGCGACTGGGGCTGGTGGAGGCGCCGGAGCCACGGGGCGGCAAGGCGCAGGGGGGCGCGCTCCGGGGCTCAGACTGCGCGGCGCCGGCCGCTGAGAGCGCCGCTGTGCGCACTCCGCTTCCGCAGCGCAACTTCGGCGCCGGAGCCCGGGGAGCGCTTGGAGCCCCGAAGCCCGCGCAGCGCACAGAAGGGCTCTCCGGAGTCTGGCTCGAGAGCAGGCGCCGGGCACCCATCGGGCTCTGAGCATCAGGCGGCCCTGCGCGCAGCGTGGCTGCCGCTGCCCTCACGGAAGGCACGGGCTGGCGCGGCCGGGCGCCGGGGAGGACGGCGAGGAGGAGGCGGCGGCGGCGGAGACGGCGACGGCGAGGCTGGGGCCAGGGAGAGAGCCCCGGGGGAGAGGCGCCGGAGCCGGGCTGCGGGAGCATGTGGGCCCGGAGCGGAGCGCGGAGCGCGCTGCTGCTGGCGCTGCTGCTCTGCTGGCACCCGAGGCTGAGCCAAGCAGGTAAGGAACGCTTGGGCATGATGACTGGGGGCGAGGTCTCCTTGCACTTCGGTCAGTTCCGAAGTTGGGGTGTTTCTTCGCCGCGCCGATGCGCCCAGGGAACGCGGCAAGGGCGTCCAAGTTAGGCAGGTTTCTCTGGCCCTCCAGAGTGGGGCGGTGGCGCAGCTTTAAAGTAAATCCGAGGCTTCCTGAGTCCTCCTGAGTTAGCCTCTTTTCCTGGGAACAGAGCGTCCGCGCCAGGGTGTGCGCTTCTAGGACTTGCTCTGCGGGGACTCTCGGTTTTCTGCACGCCGGGGTCAGGTAAGCGCTGGCTGCCTTTAGCCCGAAACTTCCGACTCCAGGTCCCCGCTCGCACGGGCTCCCGCGCGCTTCTCAGCCCTGAATCCGCAGACTAGAGCTAGAGATACCTGCGGGGCGCGGGCTAACTAGGAGGGAGGCTGAGCGAAGGGCTTTGGTAATTGAAGGCAGAAAGGTTGATTGATTCTCAAGCAACCCACCTCCCTGCGTGATAGGGGGAAAGGATACGTAGTGGATCCTGCTGTGCATCCCAGTTGACATTCTCCGGGTCTAAGGATCAAAGGAGGTACGCTTGCTACTGGCCAGAGCAGATAAGCTTACCCGAGTTGACGGGATCCTAAAATAAAGTCCCTAACCCATGTCGTCTCCCGTGGGTGTGTGCACGGCTTGCTTGTCCTCTAGTTGGGCGAGGCGTCGCTACCTTGGTTTGACTTCCCGGGGAGCCGGCGGCGGCGGGCACGGTCTCCCTGTTACTCAACTCGCTCCCCGAGACATCCTGCATGGGACATCCTGCACCGAGTCTTGTGAGTTGAGGCTGAGAATGGAGCAGAGAAGCTGATGCCGAAAGTGTACTGAGTGATGCAGCCCTCCAACCCCCTTCCCCTGGGAGGGGAGCACCTCCCACTGCGATCTTGACATCCCTCCCCCCCCCAACAGCCAGAGATCCCTCTCCCTCTGGAATTCGTGATTCTCACACTCCACGAGTGAGGGCTTGGTTCTAGCGCACCTCCCTGCTTTTTTTCTCAGCCTTGTTCTGCACAGTTACGACATTCAATCATTTGATCCCAGTTAATTACGATTTGGGCAGACTCTGGTATTTAAAGCAGTGTTTTGAAGTTGGAGGGTAATAATGGGAGTGGGGGCAGGCTGCTGAATGACCAGCCTTGTTTTAAAGGGTGCAGTTGGATGTGGGAGGCCCTGTGCTAGGGTGTTGGTTTCTGGTTTGAGGGTGTTTTTCTTGGGAGGGGGATGATTGAAGGTTTGGGTGAAGTTTCTGTAACTGGCTTGGTTTGGGTCCTGGGAAGCTGTTTTCATGCCAGCATGCCAGTAGAATCAGGAGTGACACTGACATGACTGGATGGGGTTTCTAGTAGTTAGAAGGACAGACTGGCTGGCCTGAACTTCTCAGGGAGTGCTTGCTGGGAATGGGTGGCCTGCCTTTCCTGCTTCACAAAACACCCAGCCCTCACTTTACCCAGAAGAAACCCCAGGTCTAGCACTTTGATGAATTTGGGCCTGGATGGTGTTCAACCAGGAATGGCCTGTAGTACCAGCTTTGATTTCTCACTAGTGAGCAGAATTGGTGTTGGAATTGTGCTCAGTGCAGCAGGGATTGCCTGCCCACCAGCCAGTAAAGGGGGCCAGCTGGTGGGTCTGCCTGCTGCCCTTTCCCTTTGCCCAGAACGAAACTCTTGGAAACCTTGGGGAGGAAGACTGTGCCCCTTCTTCCCAATGCCTCAGACCCAGAGAATCTTTCGTGCACTTTTTAGATTGTTTTAAATTTCCCAATGGACTAATTTTTTATTCTAGAGTCCCATTTTGCTGATGGCGAAAATGAAGGTCAGCGTGGGGACTTCCCCCAAAATCTTGATAGGGCAGGTCATGGACTTGTATGCAGGACCCCTGCCAAATAGCCAGGCTGATTCAGGCCCTTATGGGACCTTCTCTCCACAGATTCACCTCTGTCTCAAACTTTAGATTGAGTGAAAGCAGGCAAAACTGTACTCACAGAAAGAACCCTTTCTTGGGGGCTGTCTAAGCTCCTCTCAAGCAGCCAGTGTCTTTCCCTCCTTTTTCCCCTCTCCCCCATACATATGGGAATGAGTTTGCTTTACAGCACTGAGGAATTTTTTTAGGTCATAAAGTTTGATGACGAAAAAAAAATCAAAACCGGAACCATAAAAACCCCAGACACTGAGAAGGAGATGTCAGCAAGTGACTGGCCTGGAGAGGCCACTTCAAAAGCCCCCCAACCCCTACCTCTCAGCCTTCCCTGGAGCTTTTAATGAGCCTTTCCTTGGCCTCTGGCTGGGCTGGTTGAGGAGGAGCTGAGGTGTCGCGATAGATAGCACTTCTTTTTAAAGTGCAATTAAAATCAGAGTTTTTCCTAGTGTCTCTGCTGAGGCTGTGTCTGTTGGTTGCTCTGTTCTTGTCTTCCTCCACGCCATAGCAAACACCCATCTCACTTAAACAGATGGAAAATCAAGAACATCTTAATGGGTTTTCTCATTAAAGTGAAAGCACCGCTGTAGGAATGGAATAGCCTCTTGTAATCTCACGTCTTCCTCCCCAAGCATGGAATTCTGTAAGAAAACACCACCCAACCCCCACCTCCTTTTTTCCCTAACTCACTTATTTGGAAGGTGAAACTTTGGGACAGAACCGAACTCTTAGCTAGCAAGACAAATAGCAAGCCAAGCTTCCCCATTCGCATTTTAGATCCCCACACCCATTTGTGGGGTCCAGGACACTAAGTATTTTCACTCTTAATTTTGAACCTTTTTGTTCATTTTCCTTCCACCCCACTTTTTGCTGAGTTTCTGAGGACCCTTTTCTTGCCTCCTACTTCTCTTCCTCAGAGTTTCAGAAGCCCTGTAGAGATGGTGCTGGACCCCCTAGACTTCGGGACTGGAGGGGGGTGCATGCGTTATTTCAAGTGCTTAAGAGCAAGGCTAGTGGTTCTACTGGGCAGTCCTGGGAGCCCCACCCCTTGCTAAGCATATGGAAAGCTGGCGGCTGAGCCCCCTGCAGCCTGCAGGAAAGGGAGAAGGGGTGTGGTCCTGGCTGGGGGTTGGGGCTTGAGGTGCTGCCAGTGGGTTGGGGGAGTAGAGGGGCTCAGTGGCCTTGGCAGGGCCCTGGGTAGGGAGGAGTCAGCAGCAGCAGGCCCTGAGCTTGTGCTTCTCCTGGCATCCTCCTCCTCCTCACCAGTTTCCTCAACAGCTTCCACAAATGGAGTCATTAAAGCTGTGAAGGCAAAATGAAACCAAACAAGAGCATTCTGTGCCTTTCTGTTTCTTTTTTTAAAAGGAAAATTGTTAGGTGCCATTTAGTCGGTTGCAGCTCATAGCAGCTCTGTGTAAAACAGAACAGAACACTACCCCCCATCATCCAGCAACATCTTTTGATTGCTGCTGTTGGAGACTGATGGCAGAGATATTGTGGAGGGTCTTTCTCTTTTTCATTGACCTTCAACTTGACCATGCATGACATTCTTCCCTGGAGGAGTGATCTTTCCTCCAGATAACATGTCCAAAGTACTTGGGACAAGTGTCCTCAACAAGTGTCCCCCTCATCACTTCTAAAGAACATTCTTGCTTCCAAAACAGATTTGTTCTTTCTTCTGGCAGTCCATAGTATGTTCAATATTTTTGATCAGTTCTAATACTCAGACACATCATTTCTTTTGTCTTCTCTGTTCCTTGTCTAGTATTTGCATATATGTGAGATGATTTTAACTACTATAGATTGGGTCAGATGCATTTCAGTCGTCAATGTCCACATCTTTGCTTTTGAAAACTTTTAAAAGTTCTTCAGCAACGAGTCTGCCCAATGTAGTACATTGTTTGATATCTTGATTGCAGCTTCCGTGGCCATTGGTTGTGGATCCAAGTAAAATGAAATTCCTGACAACAACTTCAGACTTTCCCCCTGTAATCTCTGATCTCCAGCAAGCGCTTCAGATCTTCACTTAGAGCCAGCAAGGCTGTGTGATATGAACATGGCACATTGTTAATGAGTCTTTCTGCAGTCCTGATGCTGCCTCTCTCATAGAGTCCAACTTCTCGCATTATTTGCCCAGCACACAGATGTGAGGGTGTGCGTTAATAAGTATGGTGGAAGCAAATGAAAATTACCATCATTAGTGTAGTGGAAGATGGGAGGGGGCGCACCTCATCTTCCAGCTTTGCTCCTGAAGTTGGGTTGGTGCACCCCCTCTGGATGCTGTGGGAATGTTGCTACCTTAGGATGCATTTTGTTGACACAGGTCAGGGAACTCTCTCATCCTTTGCACTTTTGAGAAGATTGGCATCCCAGAGGTGGCCTGGGCTACCTACTGTGAGTTGGGTGGGGACGCTGGATTCTCCTGCCACAGGGTGTTGTCCCCGTGTCCCCCACCAAGCAGGAGGAAAGAAAGGTCCAGTGCTCAGCCATCAGTCCTAATGGTGCTCCTTCCTACAGGCTGCTGGTCATCCATGAGGCCACTGGCAGCGAGAACAGTTACTGAAGAGCAAGCATAAATTAGCCGCCTCCCTCCAGTCCCTTTTGTTTCCTTTTCCTTCTCTTCCAAAAGCAGCGAGTTGCTGGAAGTTCCTGAATTTACCCTCTTCGACAAAGCAGCCTGATTAGCATCACTGCAGCGCGTGGGGTTTCATTCAGCCCCGCTGCACCTGAGTGTGGTTACTTGTTGTCCACAGGCACTCACACAACGCCCTTCCACCTCCTGGTCCCCGCCCTGCCTCTGCCCCTCCTGTTGCTGGCTCTGTCGCTGCCAGTAGAGCAGATCAGTCCACTGTAGCCTGGGGACCTCTCATAGCACCACCTAGTGAGGGTGTGCACCAGGCTGCCCCTCCTCTCACCTCCCAGAGCTCACGGCTCCCAGAGCCTTACAGCTTCCCCACCCCTGCACTTGCACCTCTCACTTCAGAGCAGGTTGTGGGTGTGAGAGTGTGTATTAAGAGTGTGTGTGTGTGTGTGTGTTGGGT